CAGCAGTCAGGAATTCTCGACAGCCAATGATGGAAACTAAACTGGATTCAAGAAACTCAGAAGATGCAAAACCAAACAAAAAAGACATAGGTGCGTAGTATTGAAGCTGCTGAATGCTGGCGATGAAGAAGCCTCATGATGGGACCCGAGAATTACTGCGGACTTCTCTTCAGAACCCGTGCAAACCAGAGGTTGATACAGCCAAGCAGGAAACCTCGTCAACCCAGAATTCTGCACCCAGCAAAAGTAACCTTTCAAAAACGAAGGAAAAATACTCTCAAGAGAAACTGAAACAATTCCTGACCCCAGGGCTTCTAGGGGCAGCTGGGAGGGAGACGAAGGTCTGCATCCTGCATCCGTGTGGTTGAATGACGTGCACTGAGAGCAGGGAAGACGCACGTAACCCGTGTCTTCCTGTTTGTGCTGCTCTGACGGCGACTGTGAAACAGAAATGTGAGCAAGGTCTTCTGTGATCGAGACGTGTAGAGAAAGGCCATGATTGGAGTGGCTTAGAGGCCGGCAGAGAGGAGGAGCAGGGACTGCACTGTGACAGCCTTTGGTGGGGAGTGGTGTCACAGCCAGCCTCTGATTAATCACATGTGAACATTGGAAGTTCTGGGCATCACGAAGCATGTTTTAGGAAGTGACACAGATAACAAGATGGGATAGTAAAAATATGTTAGTTAATAAGTGAACACTGAACAAGGGAAAAAGCCGAAGAGTGGCTAGCGCGTGGGGACAGTGCGCAGGCCGTCTGTCCCAGTGCGTACTCGCCTGTGCCACATGTAGGGCCCGACACACTGAGGACGGCAGACCTGCAGGGTGGGTACCACAGCAAGACCTTAGCCTGGGACGTCTCAGAAACCCACTGCAAGTATTCAGACACAGGATAGAGGCAAAAGAGTAGAACGTGACAACCACGCACATGCCGATTGAGGAGGCACGGGCGACTCTTCGAGTTCCGAGAAAAGGAAATTACTAAGGAGGAGGAGAGACATTACACGGGACAGATGGGCCGTTCTCTACGGGCACACAGCAGCCCTAAATACTGAGGAGGTGACAGGGCCATACAGACAACACAAGCTGGTACGAACCCTCCATTGTGTCACTGTACTGGCCTGCACTCAATTTCTCCGCGATGAGCTTTACTGTAATTATGGTACCCTGCAAGGGTAAAAGACCAGGGAACCTGAGACAGACTCCCCCACCTGCCTGTTTTAAGCCAAAATTAACATATGTTAAGTTAGTATAAGCCAAATTAGCGTTAGTAACATGTGTAGACTAAGTTAGTTTAAGGCTAGTTTTATGTGAATACCCCTTGTTAAAGCTACAGGCCAAAGTTAACTTGTACTAGGCCAAATTAGCACAAGAATTCACTGATTAACAAACAAAGAATTCAGCAAATAAATACAGGGACCCGTGGGTTAATAGAGGGAGGAAGGACAGATCTGGCTAACAGTGACAGGATAAACAAACCTGAAGGCTCCAGGGGGAAGAGTAACTATCTTAGCTGAAAGTTCTTATCTGGTTCGAGGAAAGCAAAAGATAGTACCTAATTACAAACAGTTTCTCCCTTGTGCGCTGTTAACTATAAAAAACTGCTAATAAAACACCCTGTGTTGTCTCCTGAGCTACAAGACCCTCTCACCCGAAAAGGCCCTGTCTGGCAATGAAGATTTAAGAAGAAAATGCACCAGACAGATGGACTCCCTCATCCTGAGAACTGTAATTGATTATACCTAATCAAACAAGACAGACATCATGTTTTATGATTATTGTTCCTGTGCCTTGAATTCCCTGTTTCGCGGAGTAAATCTTTTATTTCCCCCTCACCCCTCCTACTCCTGTAAGACATCCCTCAATAAATACGTGTGTTTGGTAGCTGCTAGCGCAGCTGCCTGGAGCTAACTCTGGCTGTAGCTGGCTGAGAACATACTAAGAGGCATTGAGGTCTTAGTCTAATTTTTGTTTCTGTTCACCTGCGCTGCCTCCGACGAGTCAACCCACCCCCACCGAGGCTGGACCCCAGCAAGGAGGAAGAGAGATGTTACATGGGACAGACGGGCCGTTCTCTATGGGCGCACATGGCCTAAATTACTAAGGAGGAAGAGAGACTTTACATGGGACAGACGGGCTGTTCTCTACAGCCGCACAGCGGCCCTAAGTACTTACAATATGTAACAATAGACCTCAAAATACCTGGGGAAATGTTTACAGCTTCCGGGAGAAACAGACAAATCTATAGTTAAAATCAGAGTCTGCGACCCTCCTATCTCGATCACTGACGAGTAGCAGATGGAGAATGGTGGGGTGCAGAAGCCCTCCCAGCATTGTCAGCCACCTGGACCCAGTTGGGGTTTACAGCAGAGTCCCAGCCACAGTAGGTGCATGAACTCCCACACGCATTCGAGTAGTCGCCCAGGGAGAGGGTGCTCTGTCTAACCCACAGAACGGGCCGTGATTGCATTATAAAGCGAGTCCCAGACATGCGTGGGCCTCGATGGAGTTGGAGTAGAATCAGTAGCGGAGATCCTTGGGAGCTCCACTCAGAAATAGGACTTGGTGCAGGGACGGAGCCGCAGGAAGCAGAGCTGTGCGGTAGTGTAGGAGCTCGCACACAGCGCAGCACAGCACAACGCGGGAGAGCAAGCGCAGGCACGCTGCTGGGGTTCAGAGAAACACGTCTCGTGGAAACTCTAGGCGTGCATTTCAAAAGTGTTTTGTACCAAAATAAACTCAGACTTGATTTCTGTTTTTTTCTGCTAACTTTGTGAAGCCCTGGTAGTAAAAAAGCATATTACAGTGGATGGATAAATGGCATCCCCCTACCCGCTCACAAGCTGAAGGATGCTGCGTGAGTTTTTAGGAATCATGTAGCTATGAGTGTTCTTGAATGTTCCTGCGTGGACACTTGGGATACAGCCAGAGTGGACGTGACTGAAACGTACGGTAATGTCTGTGGTCGACTTTTTGAGGAATCGGTATTTTTCCAAAGTGGCTGAATCACTTTACATTCTTGCTGGCTGCTGAGGAGGGTTCTAGTTCTTCACGCTCTTGTCAACGCTTTGATTGTAGCCGTCCGCGTGGACTTGTAAAATGGTGCCTCGTGTTCTTTGTCCTTTTCCTTCTTTAATGACTGATGGTGTTGAGCATCTGTGTGTGGGGGGGTCATTTATGTATTTTCTTTGGCAAAATATTTATTCACATCCTTTGTTTATTTAGAAAATCAGTTTGTCTTTTTACAGGGTTTTAAGAACTCTTGACTCTGGGTAGAAGCCCAGTATAGACGCCGCTTGCTTGTCCATTGTTGTGGTGTCTGTCCTTGGTAAGGAAGTGAACTTGGTGCAGGTTCTTCATTGTGAGGAAGTGCAGCTTATCTGGTTTTCTTCCAGTGCCTGTGTGTTTGGTGTCGTATCTAAGAAACCCTTGCCTGACCCAAGGTCGCGAGGTTTACTCCTGCTTTTTCTTCTAAGAGTTACAGTTTGAGCTCTTGCATTTAGATCTGTGGTCATCGTGAGTGAGATTTGGCTAGTGGAGTGAGGTGCGGGCCCAGGGCCACCCTCTGGGAAGGCAGGCGAGCAGGTCTGTTTAGTTTGCGTCACTGGAATATACTACCCTGTGCCCTGGCCACCCTGCTCTTAGGTATTTACCCAAGTTCACTCAGGATCCACGTGTGTTGAGATGTGCTTTGTAACCACCAAAACCCGGAAACGACTGAATTGTCCCCTAACTGCCACTTCATTTCCCATAATTGTGTGCAGCGCTCAGTGGGAGTGCCCTTAGCTCCAGAGGAACGGAGAGCTGGCATGGACGCCCAGCAGCCTGGGCACGTCTAGCGGCTCCGTGCTCAGCCAGAGGGGCCAGGTGCAGAGGCTCGCGTCACACCACAGAGCCTCAGGGAGTCGAGAGGTCCCAGCGCTGTGAAAAACACGTGGGCATGCGGCATGTGTTCGCCAGACCTGACAGGAAGGGGGAGATGGAGGAGGACGGGCTGTGGAGCGGCCACCCCCCACCAGAGAGGTGTTCTCCCTGCACTCCCTCGCCGCTGGGTGTGCCATCAAGGTGCGTGTAGGTACATTTTGGTGTGTGGTTATTCTTGGTGCTTGGGGGTGTTGCGTAAAGGGCATACAGAGACCCCGAGTTCACTGAGCAGCGTCTCTGGTTAGCGTGAAGTTACATAAGGACAAAGACGTAGCCAGAGAGCCCGGGGACCAAGGAGTGGGGGCCTGGCCACCTTCCGTACTCAGCGCTGAGCGGGGCCTGGCTGCCTTGGGCTGGCTTGAATTCTTTGTAGGAGAGGCTGCCATTCTTGCATTTGGTTGTCTGTAGCAAAAAACTTTAGGGTGCAAGTTGGAAAACAGACTGCTCAGTATCCGGGTCCCTACCGTCTGGGTGCCATGCGCTCCTGCAGGTGGCACGGGGTGGGAGGGGATGCCCTCTGTGGTGGCCAGGGTGGCGCATCCTGGCCGTAACTGAGTCAAGGGTAGTGCCTCGAAGTGGGTCTGACTGGCGCGCGTCCATCTCTGGTGCCGAGGGGGATCGTGGCCGAGTTCATCCCGGAAGTGGGATTTGCACTGCCAGTTACCAGCATTCTGGACATGGCCCTGTGGTGCTCTGGCTGCAAAGACGACCACCAGCCCAGGGCCCTCGGATCTCGGGGCGAGATGCAGGCCGGGCCATCTGGTCTCCTTGTTTCCAGTGCAGGCCCCTTCCTCTCTCCCGTCCTGTCATCCTTGTCCCAGGTTATCAGGGTGCTGGGTGCCGTGCAGCACCCCTTCCCGGTGGCGCTTGGTGCCCACCCCGTCCTGTGCTCCTCTTCCAGGGGGAGGGGAGACTTTTGTGGTGAGTGGGGCCTGTCTGCCTTCCTGGGCAGTGTGCATGCCAACGCGGCTCTACCTGCTCCCGCAGTGTGCCATATCCGCAGGCTCATGCTGGAGCCTGCACCCTGACTACCGAGCCATGGGCTGCCAGGGAAGGCAACTGCTGTCTCGTTGCTGCAGAGTTTCAGAAGCTGTGGAGGAGCGTCACTGTGGACTCCATGGACGAGGAGAAGATTGAGGAGTATCTGAAGCGACAGGGTATTTCTTCCATGCAGGAGTCTGGACCAAAGAAAGTGGTATGTACTCGCAGTGTGGGCACACTGCCTGTCCTAGGGACTGTCCTTGCTTCCCACCTGCTCTTCAGAGGCAGAGGCCACTCCCCGTCCAGTGTCTTCTCAGCAGCCACGGGTCTGGTCAGGTGCTTCCCGTAGGGTGTCTAAGTGCCTGCGGCCAGTGTCTGCCCCAGGCTCCTGTCCTTAGGCCTGTCCTCGCAGTGCTGACCCTCAGCCTGGTGAGCCACTCGGCACCTCCTGCCCCATGTCTGACCAGGGCCGTCCTCTGTCCGTGTCCACCCTCGGCGGCCCCCACCCCACTCCATGGGCTGCTCATGGTCTCGGTGCCCCACCCTGTGGGGCCCAGGTCACGTCGCCTGGCCCTCGCAGTTCTCAGGCCCTTGGGAACCTGTTTTTACTGTACAGCCCCTGCCCCTGCTCCCTGGAGTGTGGGGATGCAGGCAGGCCTGTGACCCACTTTCACCCGTCCCGGTGCTCAGCACTCTGCTTCTGTGTCGCCTTGTGGCTCTGTGTGCTCAGTGAGCTTCAGGGCTCACTGCCGACCACCCCCCAGGACCCAGCCTGGGCAGGTCTTCAGGCCCCCTCCTGCGGCTCCATCTCTGACCCAACTCCCTTGTGGCGACACGCGTGCAGAGCAGAGTGGTGTGTGGGCTCACGCAGCCGTGCCCACTGTCCTGCTTCTGTTGGTGATGGGCTCTGCCGTTAGGCCGGAGAGCTGAAGCAGTACTGTCCCCTGCCTACCATCTGCCTGCAGTGGCTGCTGCTCGGGCCTCCGTGCGGCCCACTCCTCCCTGCCACGTGCTTGCATCTCCGGCCCCACGAGCACCAGCCCGGCCAAGGCTGGGCATGCCGCGTGGACTGCCAGGCCCAGCGGGGGAGGCCCCAGCCCCGCATCCTGGGTGTGCTCACTGACCCCTGCCCTTGCCAGCCCCTCGGCCCGACTGCTGTTTCTAACTATCCTCTTCTCCAGGCCCCTATTCAGAGAAGGAAGAAGCCAGCGTCCCAGAAGAAGCGGCGGTTCAAGACACACAACGAGCACCTGGCCGGGGTGCTGAAGGACTACTCCGACGTCGCTCCTGGCAAGTAGGGCCTCGCCACACACGGGGTCAGGCCCTTGCAGATCCGGGGTCTGCAGACCGGCGTCTCTTCACTCTGCATCAGAGGCCCAAGGCGGGACCGTTCCCGGCAAGTGCCGAGCCCCCACACTCGGGGCTCCTGGTGACCCAGTGAGCTCCAGGAGACCTGCGGCCCCCACCTCACGACGCCCCGGGAGAGGGTGCCGTTATGTGAGCGCTGTGTCATGGTCCTGGGAGCAGCGCTTGTTGAGCCTGGAAGGACGCATCTATAATAAAGTCACTGCAGGCGCTCGTGTGTGCTCGGCCGTCTCTGTGGCAGGAAGCAGCTCCAGCGCCACCCACTGGGTCCGACCGGGCGGTAGTGAGGCCGGCATCCACCTGCGGTGTGGGGCCGGAGGTGGCCCAGCAAGCGGGTCACTCGACCTGTCGCTCCCTTCACAGGACCCGCAGTCCAGCCTGCTTCCTGCGGTCCACTCGGGCCGTCTCGGACGGGGGCATAGACTCTGGCCCTGCTGAGCACGCTGCTGTGTCCCAGCCTGCCGGCCGACCGTTGTGGTGTGGCCCTCAGCTCAGGCTGGCCATCGGCAGGGGGGGGGGGTACGTGTGCTTGGTGCTGTCAAGCCGGCTCACAGGTGTGCCTGCCAGGTGCACTACACGCTGGTCTCTGCGCTCCTCCCCTGGTCCCCGTGTCACAGGCGGTGCGGCAGAGCCTGTGAGGAAGGCGTGCTCAGAGGAGGCGCTGTGGAGACCCAATGGCAGTGCTTTGTGCAGGCAGCAGCACCTTCTGCTCCCTGGTTTGTGTTCGCACTTGCAACGGGTCGGCCGGCTTTCCTACCCACGCGCCCCAGCCCACGGTGAGCTGCACAGCTGAGGCCGCCTGTGTGGCTGATTATCTCTTAGTTGCCAGCAAGTGTGCACACTTACGAGTCAGGGCTGGGGAGGTCGCACTGCAGTCCCTTCTCAGCCCCCACCCTGCTAGGATTCGGCACGCCCGCACATGCACCCGATGTGTTTCTGTGCCGCTGGGGCTGGGGCTCCAGCAGCGCAGTTGGCCATGTGCTATCGGCTCCCCTAACCCCTGGACCACAGGGCCAGCCCCTCGTGTAACGTGGGGCACAGGAAGTTCAGCCCATGTTGTGTGCGTTGCTGGTACCCAGGAGCTCTCACGTCTGTGGCGTAACCCTGGTCTCCTTACAGACGGTCGCAGGCTCGCTTATCTCTGAGGGGCCTTGTGGGCACCCTGTTGATGGGCACGGTCCGGTGTGCTCACGTGGTCTGCAGTCAGACTCTGCCCCACAGGCTTCGTTGCAGAGCCTGTGCTGCCAGCGTGTCTCTCCAGCCGAGCCCGCGTGCAGCAGGCCTCCGTGGGCTGACCTCATGTCCTAAGCCTCCTGCTGGGAGGAGGAGGCTGAGAGGACAGGCGCTAAGCTGTCGCGCTTGCCGGCCCGCAGCTTGATCTCCTTCACGCCCCTTCTCGTTAGAAGGCTCCCCTTCACCTGCTCCAAGCAGGAGCAGTTCCTGTGCGCACACCCATAAGGGGGCCCTGGGCTCGCACCACGGTGTCCCATGGGCAGGAGGGTAACCTTTGTGGGATGTGGGGATGGGAGCCAGAGTAGAAAGAAAGGAGAGACTCTTAGCAGCTCTCCTGGGTGTCTGAGGACAGCCACCAGAAACCCCCAGATACAGGTGGTCATGCTCTGGCCCTACAGGACGCCAGCCATTTAGAAGCACCGGGGGTGGGTGTGGCTGGTGGGCGGGAGGCCCGGACAGGCTCCTCGGCTGGCCATAGGCCATCACTGCCAGGCAAGCCTTTTTGGGGAGCACCGAGATTTGCAGTTGGACGCAGGCTGGGCATCAGAGTGAACACTGCTGCCCCTGTCATAGCCGGTATTTGTGGCCAGGTGAGGGTGGGACCCAGAGGACCGAGGGGCAGTCATGACCTGTGAGCGGAGATTTAGTGGAAATGCAGCTCAGGGCCGTGCTCTGATGGCCCTGGGTGCCTCCTGAGCTGGTGGCAGTGCTGCAGTGCTGTGGGCCTTGACATGTGGTCATCCACACTCCCCGCCCTGTCCCCACTGTGGTCTTTTGTGATGCGTTTCTGGGGAGGAAGAGTTCGGATTTCCAGGATTTTAGGGCCACCGACTAGTCACTAGCGCAGGCCTCTGGGGGCGGACTAGAGGCTGCCCGGCTGTGCATCCTCACGTCGAGTTGGGGCAGTGCCCCATTTCCCAGTGTGTATTGAGAGGTGTGCTCTGTGGGAGCGATGGGGCCGGCAGGTCTGCAGACCCTGGGAGGCTGTTTCCCAGCCCCATTGGCCCTGGGCTGCGGTGGGGAGAAGACGGGCCTGCCTGCTGTGGGGGTGGGTGGGCGAGGGGAGGCCAGCCTCGCTGCTGTGGTGGGAGAGGCTGGTCTGCACCGCAGTCCTGCCCGGTTTGAGGAGGAGAAGCCCAGGCTGCTCTGAATGTCCCAGCGAGGCGGCAGCGTGGCACGTGCCTGCACAGTGACGAGGCTGTGCCACCCCAGCCCTGACAGGCCGGGATGCAGGACTCACCCAGGCTCCCGGCCTGAACTCCCCAGCCTGTTCCTTGGACACTCAGGTGGCAGGCCTGTAGCCTCTTCCTCGCAGTGACAAGAGGGAGAAACCTACCTCTGAGACCCTTTTAAAGTACGAAATGCAGACAGCGATGACGAGAGCAGACTAGCCACGTGGGCTCCAGAGCATGGGTGCCGTGGCTCCGCCTCGCACTCACCCAGGGGGCCGGGCACGCTGGCTGCCAGGGCTGTGCTGCGTGGGGAGGGCTGCCTGTCCAGGTCAGCATCCTGGCGTGAGCGACGTGAGCCTCGTCTCCACCATATGCGGTCTCCCTTTCAGGAGGTGGCTGGTGCACTCTGGCGTCTGGATCTCTCCCCTCAGCCCCCACTGAGAGAGATGTGTGCCAACAGCCGGCGGGGGCTGGCCGGGCTGCTGGGATTTTTCTTGGTCAGGTCTTGTAGGAATAGGCTCCTTCCCTCCCAGCCGGAAAGCAGGCACCACCAGGGTTGGAGCTCCCGGACCCCCACGAGAACGTGGCGTGGAGAGTGCCAGGGAACGAGAACACACTGTCAGGTGCGCAGCACCCTGGGGGTCTCGGGGTCCTTCAGCAGCCGGGTGGCGCTGGGCGTCTGGGGCGCTGCAGCGGGGCAGTGGGGTGCCGTGGCGGCCTACAGAAGCTCCTCCCCAGAGCCCTGGTCAGGCCACCGCAGCCAGGTGTCAGGATCCGTGCCTTGGTGCCTCATGAGGCATCACTGCTGACGCGCACGCCCCCGCTTCCCATCCCCAGAGAGGCCGAGAGCCAGAGCCAGAGCCAGCGCCAGCCCCTGGCGCCTGAGTTGGGAGTTCACAGAGGCTGGGGGGGGACCGCCGGCCTCCATGGCGCTGCGCAAGCTCCGGGTGCCTGGTGGACAGTCACCTCGGCAGACAGACCGCGAACCACACTCAGGGCCCTCAGCCGAGGCTCACGACCCTATGGCTATTGCCTCTACCTGTAACCAAGCTCTGTTGTCCTTCCCTGTGGAGAGGAGGGTCGGTGACAGGACACAAAGCACTGTCCTGGCAGTTGAGACACTTCTGTGCTGTCCAGGGCCAAGCCCGGCCGGCTGAGCAGGCTCAGCCAAGAGCAGGAGCAGGTGTCCAGGCCATGCCAGGGTGGGGGCTCCAGTGCGGGAGCCCCAGGGTGGCCCCTGCCTGGCTGGTTGCTGAGCCCCGGCTCTGGCTTTTGGCTTCTGCCCCTCCCACCCTCGTCTCCCTGCACCTCTGCTCTGTCAGCCAGCAGGGGGTGCACACCGCTGAGTCCTGGCAGAGAGCTTGGGGGGGTGCCCCCCGCTGATTCCTGACCGCGAGAGTGCACACCGCTGAGTGCTGGCAGCGACCGGCGTGGGGTGCACACCGCTGAGTCCTGGCAGAGAGCTTGGTGGGGTGCACACCGCTGAGTCCTGGCAGAAAGCTTGGTGGGGTGCACACCGCTGAGTCCTGGCAGAGAGCTTGGTGGCAGTGCTGCCACAGCTGGACGAGCACAGTGACTTTACGCATGGAGGCCGGGAGAGCAAGTGGTTAAGGCGAGACGCCCCCACATGGCTGCTCATGCTTTGAGTCTGAGACCCAGTGACTTGAGAATCACACCAGGTCCATGTGCGTGTGTGCCCCCAATCCCAGGAGAAGGGATTGAGGTGTGGCCATCCACCCACCCCCAGCGCAGGGAGGCGGGTCCTCACTTTTCATTTCCTCGCTGTCTACAGCAAGTGCACATGCCTTGTGGCAAAAACAAAACAAAAGGACGTCTCAACTGTCGGTGAAAGCACAGCGAGCACAGCAGACCACGTGCAAGAGGCAGCACTCCACTCAGCCAGCAGGCTCAGGGGAGCTGACCCCAGGAGGCCACGGCTGACACCCTGCCGCTGCCCGCCCTCCCCCGTTCACGGAAGAGGCCTCACTCCTGCTTTGTTGTGTTGGTCTCTAAGGCTTTGACATCTTTCTTTCCGAGAGAAGACCCCGAACCAACCATGTTGCCGTGAACACACTGGGGTTCCCACACAGCAGGCACAGGTGCTCGGGCAAACCGTGACCTCATGCAGCTGCCTCCGTGACTGCTAGTCCCCTGTGGGCCTCAGAGAGGGAGTGCAGGACTGTCCCCAGTAGACACGTGTCTGCTTCCGCCTCAAAGCCAAATGCTTGTGTGGCTCCAAGACCTCTTGAAGCCTACCGACCAGTTTCAGGTGCCCCAGCCACGCCACTGTGGCGCTGCGGTGTCCAGGTGGGTGGGCCGTCCCGAGGCAGGGACGCCAGCTCAGGCCATTTTCCCCAAGTCACTACCCACTGGCCCCTGCATGGGCTGGGCACGGCCTGCCTCCCGACCAAGGCTGCCCGTCCTGGTCTGCACTCTGTGAACCCTGGGGAGTGGGGTGGCCCCAAGGAGGACAGCCATGCAACAAGTGGTCACGCACACACGTGTACACACGGGAGCGTGCCACTGCAATGAATGGAGTTGGGGCACTGGTGGGGTCGCAGCAGGAGGGACCAGGACTCAGCATGTGCTGGTCGGGGGTCCTTACCGAGCCCGTGCCTGGCCCTGAGTGCGCCCAAGCTGGGAGCCCCGGCCGCTACACGGCACAGCTACAGGAACACTGGCAGACGCAGCCGGCTGCTCACCCCACGTGCCGATCGCCTGGTTCTGGCCAGGCCAGTGGGCCTCCTGTCCACAAGACAGTCGGGACATTCTGATAATACTTAGGAACATGCCCCAAACGTGCGGCTT